ATATATATATAGGACTATAGGAGTTAGATTATAAAAATTACGCTAAACCCAACACACTACCCCCCTTTTTAACAATTTTTTAATTTCTATACATATATATATATATATATATATATATATATATATATATATATATATATATATATATATATATATATATATGCTTATATATATATATATATATGCATATATATATATATATGCATATATATATATGCATATATATATATATATATATATATATATATATATATATATATATATATATATATATATATATATATATGTATGATTGTATGTATATATATATGTGTATATATATGTATATATATATATATATATATATATATATATATATATATATATATATATATATATATATATATATATATATATATATATATATATATATATATATATATATATATATATATATAGAGAGAGAGAGAGAGAGAGAGAGAGAGAGAGAGAGATTCATTTGGAACATAATAAAGTGTTGCATTGAACATTTATATTGTTGTACAGTTGTTTCTTAATATTTTAGATACTTGATATCTCGAACTTTTTCTACAATCCCTTTGACATTATGTACTTGTTTGAGCTAAAATCATATTGATATCACGAACCTCAATATCTAGGACTTATTTGTATCTCAAACAATATTTTTGTTTAGGGCAAATTTTCTCTCATTTTTCAAAAAAAATTTATAACATGTTTTGATAACATTCCATATGTTTGGCCTAATAAATTTTCCCATCCACAAATTGAAGGGCTAATCACCCTTTTACTTCTTCTCCCTAATTCTACATCTCTTCTCCCACATCTATTGCAAAACCTTAAAGTTCATTATCATGACAAAATTGTGTCTTTTCAAGACTGTTGACTATAAAAAACTCTTGCCAAAAGTTTCTATCCTTTAAGCGATGAAAGATCTCATTTCTTTTTGGATTGCTGTGAAGACTATTAGCAATTGCAGGCTTGGTCGGGAAGCGGGTGTGATTGCACTTGATAACTGACCACGGAAATAATATTTAGTTGCGAAAAACCGGCCAGATATTTTAGTTGTTTTGAGAACATTTAAATTTATGTATGTTTCCTTAATTAAGTTCATTATTTCATCGTAATTTTTTAAATATTTTGTTTACGGACATACATGGAAACATACATAAACTCGAATGTTCTCAAACATCTTTGTGCGGAAAAATAAAAAAAACACAAAAAACCTGCCAAATCTACAAACAACTAATTCTATTGGTTAAAAAAATACTAACCGAAATTTCTAGAGTATTCTGTTGAAATTTTTTTAAAAATTGTATTATTTGAGTTTTGTTATGATTTCGTTGTGATTTCTAGCATAAATTGTTTTAAGAATATCAAACGAACTATTATTTTAAGAAACAACTACAAAGCTATAAATGTTTAAAACTAACATTATTTGTTTACAAAAAAAATGTTTTTAATTTACTAACTTTAATTATTTTTGCTTCAGCCATTCTTACAAACTCGTTATAGTTAAACTTAAAGTTAATTTTTTCTGTTTTAAATACTAATTAAAATTATAAAGCCCACTAACTAAACATCATCAGCGTTATTGTGAAGTAGTTCCGCTTCCTCCTCACATAGTAATTTAACGTTTTTAGTTAATTTCTATTTAGCTTATTGAATTTCTACAAAAACTCAATGATTTAATTATTTAATTTGTTCATCTTATAAGATATTTAACACATTTGAAACAATTTTTCTTAGTATACTAAGAAAAATTGTTTCAAATGTGTTAAACATTTCCAACTACGCGAAGCATAAAAGAGTAATTGAAAAAACTTTTTTATTTATAAATCATCTAGCGTTAGTTTTATTAGTTGAATCTTGTTGGACTTTTTAGGGCCGGGGACTGCATTATTTTGGCGGCCTTTATTATGTGCCACAACGTAAAAATGACTGAAAAAAATACCAAATGATCCTCTTGACTATTTCGCGGCCCCTAACATTGTGAGTTCCGAGGCTATAGCCCTTCTACTCCCCCCTCCTCAATCCAGCACTGGAAATAAGACAAGTATATAAATAAAAATTATATATACTCTTTGATAAATTGGAGAACATTTGTGTCCTTATTAAACAATCATTATTAGTAAATTGTTACTTTATATAAAAAATGTCACTTAATATATTGAAAAAATTACAAAAGAGCGGCGTTTTAAAATATTTGTTCTAATCGTATTTATTTTGCTTAAAGTTTTTTTGTGTTAAAAGCTATTTTTCTTTTTTTAACTGTCTCACATTGGTCCAGTTAATCTTATTGTGCTTTTTTGTTTGTTTTTGAAATGTTCTCAAAACGACTAAAAAGTCTGGCTGGTTTTTCGCAACTAAATATTATTTCCGTGGTCAATTATCGAGTGCGATCGCACCCGCTTCCCGACCAAGCCTTCAATTGTTTTTAACTTGAGGATCTAACATAGATGATTTTTTTCCGGAAATTCACTTAAAACACCTTAAATTTTTCCAGTAATTTATGGATGTTTTTTGATATTAATTTGAAAAAAAGTTAATATATTTTTACATAAAATTTTCCACATGACAACTTTTGCATTTAAACAAATATGTTTTCTATAATTAAAATTTTTACGAGATCAATTTTTGTAACAATTTTTTTTCTTTTTTTTTTTGTTTAATTCATTCAAACTTTTTTGAATATTAGAAATCTCTTTTTGTAAAAAATTAAATAATCTAAATTCCATTTGTCAGTTAAATGCGATCTATTTTTAATAAAATAATTTTCCGGATTTTCCGGGATTATCATAGAAAAAAAATTTCAGAGATTAATAGAAAAAAAATTTCAGAGATTCCATAGAAAAAAAATTTCAGAGATAAAGTCAAATACTTATCTATGATCTAATGAAGATGGAAAAGATAATTTGAAGCAAAACCCAGTTTCAGATATCTTCCAAGGATGGTAGTTTTTTATAAATTAAAATATTGTAGCGTTCATAATTATTGCAAGATAATATATAGCGTTCATAATTATTGCAAGAAAATAAAACTTTTTAAATAAAAGTTGAGCGATTTTACTTATTTTTAACCCCCTAATGTAATTAGGGGGTTAAGTATTTTACTTTATCTAAAAAAAAAGGCAATTTTATTTAAGGACATTGTTCGTATTAATATGGCAATAAAACAAAGAACACTGCTAAATAATCAAGCATTTCTTGATGCATGTAATTATGCCAAAGAAGGAAGTGGTAGAATTCATTATTTAGGATTGGTGAGTGCTAACAATAATATTTTTTCTTCATTTTATATCCAACTAAAAAAAAAATTATAGTTACTAAGTAAAAATGATAGTATTAAAGTTATTAAAGTTATAAGTTAACTTTGTTTAGGTGAGTGATGGAGGAGTTCATTCACATATTGATCATCTTCTTGGATTGCTTGAACTTACAAAACTGCTTGATGTTCCAAAGTGCTTTGTTCACTTTTTTGCAGATGGTAGAGATACCAGACCAACCAGTGCAGGTATAAAAAGTTTTCTAATGTTCTATTTTTAAAATTCATTGCATCATAAGTAAAAAAGTGTTCAACTATACTCAAGCTTTTTTGCAGCATTCATTTTTTTTTAAATTGTTCACCTTTTTTTATGAATCTTTGTTTTGTTCACCATTAAAAGTATAATCTTTATGATAAAAACAGTTGCCATGATAATTAAGTTTTTATTTTTTAATTTATTTATTATTTAATCCAAATTATTAAGTTTTTCCAGAGAAGGATGAATACTTTTTTTGCCCACTCTTCCAGTTCTCCATTTTTTTATAATAATTTTGTAGAATAAGTTTTAAGAATATTCTTCCTTTCTGAATCAATTTTTAATCAATATTTAATCAATTCCGAATCAATATTTTGCATTGCACAATAAGTATATAAAGTAAATAAGTAATTTGAATTTTTTTTTTATATATAAAATTTTTAGGAATTATTTCTATAATTTAATGTTATATTATTTTTTTAAATTTTACTTTTAGTCAATTATTTAAAGCAAGTACAAGATAAAATTGAGGAATTGCAGTATGGTTCCATAGCAACTGTCATGGGTCGTTATTATGCCATGGATAGAGATAAGCGACATGAAAGAATTAAAATTGCTTATGAAGGTTTGACCCAAGGAATTGGTCAAAAAGTCACTGCTCAAAATGTTATAGAGGTTGATAAAATATTTGTTAAAAATGTATTAAATATTGAATTTGAAATCTGCTTATTTAACAGTGTGATGTTTATACTTTTAACTTTGTTAGTAGACAAAAAATATATTTCAATTAGATAATATATTAACTTGTTTTATGATACGTTTTATTCAATGCTGCTCTTTTTATGATACGTTTTATTCAATGCTTGCTCTTTGTGAGACTAATTTGAGTTCGGCTGTCCCATCTTGTGATCTTAGTGTTGATGGTTATCTTCCTTTAATTCGTAAAGACTCCAATAATCACATGCTTGGCCTGGGCATCTACATTCGTAAGAACTCACCCATTTGTTGTGAAACTAGGTTTGAATCTACAGACTATTCATTTATGTGCTTTCGTTTAGCACAACTTCACTCTATCGCCTTTCTCTTTGTTCTATATCGCTCTCCTTCATCCCAAGATTGCACTATTCTTGATGTTATTTCTGATCAATTTGACCAAGCCCTCTCTCTTTATCCATCGGCCAATATCGTCGTTGTTGGTGACTTTAATGCCCATCACACCGATTGGCTTGGCTCTAGTGTCAGTGACTCTGCTGGCGTTAAGGCCCTCAACTTTTGCCTTTCTCAATCTCTAACTCAAATAGTCAACTTTCCAACTCGTTTTCCAGACAACCCTAATCATTTACCTTCTCTACTCGACTTATGTCTTGTTTTGGATCCTAGTCAGTGCTCAATTTCTCCACATTCACCCTTAGGTACTTCTGATCACGGTTTGATCTCTCTAAAACTGTTATCAAATTCTTCTACTTCATCAGAATCCCCCTATCATCGTACCACATACAACTACCTTAAAGCTGACTGGGACTCTTTCCGTGATTTTCTTCGTGATGGCCCTTGGGTAGAAATCTTTCGTCTTCCTGCTGACAAATGTGCTTCTTACATAACTTCGTGGATTCAGGCTGGCATGGAATCTTTTATTCCCTCTTGACGATTCCAGGTCAAGCCTCACTCTTCTCCTTGGTTTTCCTCACATTGCGCTGCAGCAATTTCTAATCGAAACCATTACTTCCATATCTATCAGCAAAACAATTATCCAGAAAACAGACATCTGTTCACTATCGCCAGAAACCATTGTAAAAAGGTTTTGTCTGACGCCAAAGCTCGCTATTCCCAGGTCATTAAATCTCGTGTCTCATCACAAAAATTAGGCTCTCGAGACTTCTGGAGAATCTTTAACAGTATCAATAATAAGGGCAAATCTGTTATTCCTTCTCTCTTGTATGGTTCAGACTTTGTCACCTCACCTAAAGACAAAGCTGAATTGTTTGCTAAGAACTTTTCATCAATATCATCTCTTGATTCCACTAGTTGTGTTTTACCTGACATAGCTGTCAAACAGGTTGATCCCTCGCTTGACATTCGCATCACTTCAGCTTCTGTATCTAAAGTAATTTCCTGTTTAGACTCTTCAACAGCTTGTGGTCCTGACAACATTCCTGTTGTAGTCTTGCAGAGGTGTTCTCCGGAGCTTTCATCCATACTTTCTAAACTATTTAACAAGTGCTTATCAGAGTCTTGTTTTCCTTCATGCTGGAAAGCAGCATCTGTTATCCCTATTTTCAAAAATTCCGGAGAGCGATTTGATTCATCTAACTACCGTCCCATTAGTCTTCTTCCTGTCATAAGCAAGGTTTTTGAATCTTTAATCAACAAACACTTAATCTCTTATCTTGAATCAAATAACTTACTTTCTGATCATCAATATGGATTTCGGTCTTCTCGTTCTACAGCTGATGTGCTAACAGTAATAACCGATAGGTTTTACCGTGCATTAGATAGAGGTGGAGAGGTTAAGGCTATCGCACTTGACATTTCTAAAGCTTTTGATAAAGTTTGGCATGCTGGTCTTCTCCATAAGCTTTCTTCTTATGGTGTAGCTGGTAACGTCTTTAAGATTATTGAGTCCTTTCTTTCCAATCGTAGTATAAAAAATGTCCTCGATGGACAACACTCTTCTTCACATCCTGTAACTTCAGGGGTTCCTCAAGGTTCAATCCTTGGCCCTATACTCTTTTTAATTTACATTAACGATCTTCCAGATATTCTCACATCTAAGGTGGCATTATTCGCTGACGACACTACCATTTACTCTTGTCATGATAAGAAGCCTACACTCTCTGATTGCTTGGAGGGGGTATCTGAGCTTGAAAAGGATCTCACTTCTGCTACAGCATGGGGCTCACAGTGGCTGGTGAACTTTAATTCAGATAAAACTCAATTTTATTCGGCCAATCGTTATCGTAATAATTTAGATCTTCCTATATTTATGAATGGTAATGTACTAGATGAGTCATCTACCATTCATCTTCTAGGATTAACTCTTACTTCTGATCTTTCTTTTAAACCGTATATCAAATCCATTGCAAAATTAGCATCTGCTAAGGTTGCATCTCTTTATCGAGCTCGACACTTTCTTACTCCAGATTCTATTCTCTATCTCTATAAATCTCAAATCCGTCCCTGTATGGAATACTGTTGCCACATCTGGGGCGGATCTTCTAATGATGCTCTTTCTCTTTTAGACAAGGTGCAAAAAACGAATTGTAAACATAGTTGGACCTGCTCTGGCAGCCAATCTCCAGCCTTTGTCACATCGTCGTAATGTTGCTTCTCTTTCTCTTTTCTACAAATACTATAATGGGCACTGCTCTAAAGAGCTAGCGTCCCTTGTGCCATCTACAAAAATTCATTCTCGTGTTACTCGCCATTCAATTAAGTCTCATCCTTTTTCTGTGACTGTTCCTAAGTGCTTCAAAAACTCTTATTTTTCTAGTTTTTTTCCTCGAACATCAGTTCTTTGGAATTCGCTTCCTTCATCTTGCTTTCCTGATTCATATAATTTGCAATCTTTTAAGTCATCAGTCAATCGTTATCTTGCTCTACAGATTTAGTCTTTTCTCTTCCAGTAACTTCCAACTCTTATAGTGGTTGCTTGCAGCCTTGTTGGAAGTGAAGATGTTAAAAAAAAAAAAAAAAAAAAAAAAAAAAATTTCTTCCTTTTTTTATTTTGGCAAGGTAATACAAAGTCGATATGATGCTAATGGAGAAGAAAGGCAAACTGATGAGTTCTTGAAACCTATTATTCTAAATGAGGATGGTGTTATTAGAGGTCTGAAGTTTTTAATTTTTTCTTTTTACATAAAATTTAAATTTACATGTTGGTTTTACGTTACATAAATAAACTGTATCGTAAATAAGAAAAAGTTTTTTAAAAAGACACTTTTAAAATTTTTATAGTTAAAATTGGTTTTGAGACTGGGAAATTATATTTATAGTGCATTAGAAAATGCTTTAAAACTCAGCAACATATCCCTGAAGTTTTTTCAATTTTTATTTGAAAGCATTTTTTTTTAATCTAAAAAACATAAACTACAATTTTCAAAGTTAGTGAAAGGTCTTAAAAGAATACTCTAAAAAAATTGGTAGCTCAGTGATTGTAAAAAAGTTTATAGCTCATTTTTTTTAAAAAACTCCCTTGCTTAACTTAATGCTACTGGTAATGTATCTTTTATAATATTTGTATGGAAATACAATTATTAAAAAACTACATAAATGTTATTTCTCTATTAATAACAAGAGAACAGCAATATTTGCATAAGTTTTTGCTTTTAATTTTTTACTATCTATTAGTTGCACTATCAGCACAAACACAATTATTATAGTCAGCTTTTTTTATTTTTTAACTCTAGTTAAAATTCTCTAAAATATGTAGTTTTTCCCTGGACTATTTTATTGTATATATAGGAAATGTTTTCTGGTGATAATCAAAATACTAAGGGGATGTATTGCAAGATCTCTTTATGCAAGGTGTATAGTAATTAAATAATTTTTTATACTAGATGGTGACAGCCTAATATTCATTGATTTCCGATCTGACCGTATGCGACAAATAGTTGAAGCATTTGCTGTTCAAAGGCATTTTGAGACTGCTTTTGTTCCTAAAAATTTGGTATTTGTGTTTAATATTTTTTTGTATTAAAATTTTTTTTATGATTTATTTTAAATATAGCTTTAAAAATTTTAAATTAATTTAGGTTTTAAAATATTACCCATACCAAGTACAAATAAATAAATAAATATTGTTTATTAAATATTGTTTATTAAGCTTTACTTTATGTTATATCAAGGTTTTGTTTTTTTCAAATTTAATAATTGCATAAGATTTTTAATTTAATAAAACAAAAAACACAATATGCAAAAGAAATAGAATTAGTAAAGAATTAAAGTTCACAACATAATTTGTTGTGTTTTAAATTGCAAAAGAATTATAATTGGTAAAGAATTGAAGTCATGAAATTGAGATTTAAAATCAGAGTTTGAATCAACAGTTTTTAGAATCACTTGTCTCTAGTTTGAATATTAATTAAAGATAGGCTAATAAAAGATAATAGTAAATGTAAATCAGGATAATTTGGATGGTTGAGATTTTTTCTCTTCCGAGTAAACTCATCATAAATATCAATAAATTATTGTAGTATAACAGTTTAGTTATTTAATGTTTTCTTAAATTCTATCAAAGCTATAATAGAACTTACTCTATCAAAGCAAAAAAAAATTAATGTAAAATCTACAAAACAGTTTTAAGTAGTGCCTTACCATAGAAACGCTGAAAAACAGTTTTAAGTAGTGCCTTACCATAGAAAAGCTGAAAAAGGAAATATAGAAAAGGAAACGAGATAAGACATGGATAACCTTTGTCTGTCAACACTTTTTTATCTACTGCCCAAAACAGTTTTCAAGTATTTAACAAGTTTTATGTTAAACATGTTAATTTTTGTAAAATTTTCAGAATGTTTTTTTTAAATATTTTACTCAATGAAATTTTTTTATCATAAAACTACCAAAATCATTTGATCTGAACTTGTTGGAATTTATGCACATGAATAGATTTAAGGTTATAGTATCTCTAAGAATGATTCTTTATTATTTTTTTGAAACTTTATTATTTATTTATTGTAATTATATAAAGGTTGTGAGCCTGAAGCCGATGTTTCGTATTTTAACAAATGAAACACTTGTCAATTCATTTTTTAATGATTACAAAATTTGTTTGACCTGTTACACTAGGTTCTCAAATAATAGTAATTTATACACAGCCAGTTTTTTTTATTTATGCTTTATCTTATCAAATTCATTTACAACTTTTTTTTAATGATTTTATAATTACATAATTAAACTTTAACATCATTTAACTAATCTTTAGAAAATCACTTGCATGACAGAATATAAAAAAGAATTTGGACTCCCTGTTTTGTTTTCACCTGACACACCTAAAAATGTCCTTGCGGAAGTCCTTTCTTCTCACAAAATCAAACAGTATCATTGTGCTGGTATGAACTTTCTTAATAAAATATTTTGCAATTATTTTATCTTTTTAAATTTTTTTAAAAATTAATTTCACTATTTTAATTTTTTGATTTTAATTGTTTCTGTCTTGTTTTCCAAAGTATGATTAAATAATATCACTTGCTTGATTGACTTTGATTTGAAAATTACAAGAGTTATAGTTATTATAAATATATGTTATATTATGTTTATCGCAAATCTAAATTTAAGAGAATAAGTTGATTACCATGAATAATAATATACACAGATATTGGGACATAAAAATATCAAAAACATTGCATTAAATAAAATGATTACCAATACGCTAACACAATAGATTTTTTTAAATATTTATTTTAGAAACTGAAAAATATGCACATGTTACATTTTTCTTCAATGGAGGGGTTGAAAAAGCATTTGAATTGGAAGAAAGAAAACTTGTCCCATCACCCAAGGTTGCAACTTATGATTTAAAACCTGAAATGAGTGCTCATGAAGTTGGCCAAGTAGTAAGTAATTTTTATAGTTAAATAAATAATAGTTATAAAACATTATTAAAAACAAACAAACATAAACATTAAAAGATGCATTTTACATACAGCATAAACATGTTTCTTTACTTATTTTTGTAGGATAGCTATCTTTACAAAACAACAGAGAGTTGTGATTGCGCTTTTTTTCCTTTAGGTCCTAATTTTTTTGCTTACAAAAATTAATTAAATTTTTTTTTGTATATTTATGTATGTATTTATGTATGTATATATCAGGGGCTATTCTAGACCGTTTTCGACAGCATCGAACGTATTTGGGCGCTGCGGAAATTAAAATTGGAGGACCTTGTTTGTTTTTTTAACGTTTTTCACGGCAAATATTGTTATTTTCGCAAAAAAACTGCAGATTTTCTGCTAAACTTCGCCAGAACAAGGGGGTACCTCTGCCCAATTTTTTTTCCTAGACCCTGTATATATCAAGCCTTCCCAGAAAAGGCTTGCGGTTTTTTGTCTCGTACGACCACAAAAACGTTTTTCAAGTTAGAGAACGTGATCACAGCGGTTTGCGGAAGTTTTATTATATGCGTTGCTGAAAAATTGTTTTATTAAAGTAAACTTAAATAGAAAACAACAATAATAGTTTAAATAATTTGTGTGTTGTTTTTATTTTTGTTTTTTTTTAGTGGTTATTATTATCGGCAACAAAATTCAGTAAGTCAAAGCAAAAAAAAAAAGGTTTTAGGCGTTAAAAAGGATGACTTTCCTATATTTTATGTGTTTTTTCTTTTAAAGAGGAAAGAGAAAATATGTATTGTCATCTGTTTGTAAAATATATTTATATAATTATAATGTAACAAGTTTATATCAAGAGTTAAATTATACGATCGCGATTTGCAAACTCTGGTAAAATATTAGGTCTTTAAAATTTTAGTTCATGCAAAGCTGTTTGTTTATATAGAGCAAATTATTATAAGTATGCTAGCGAGAAAGTTACAAAAAACAAAACAAAAACAATAAACTTACGACTACAAAAGTAATAACACTTTAGTCACTAACTACATTATAAAAGTAATAAAGCTATAATAGTGTTATTACATTTATAAAGCACTTATTACTTTTAAAGTTCATTCTTTGTTCAAACAACATTATTAATTCCAAACACAGGCCTTGTTACAAGATTTCGCTGCGTAACAGAAAAGCGAATTGTGAATAAATGTAACTTAACTCAATAAAGATATTTACATTGTTAACAGTTAAATTACGTCAGTTGCTTTTTAACTTCATTTTAATTAAATTTAAAATGACATTAAAAACTATTGTTAGTCTTTGAAACGAAATAGCTTTAAATTGAACAATATTGTTATAAAAAAAAAACTAAAGTTTTAATGTTGATTAAAAAAAAGTCTTCTTGTATTAAAATCTTATACTTATTTAAACTTAATTTTTTTGCTATCAAACATTCGTTTTATGGTTGTTTTTTTTTAAATATTTTAAAATATTTTTTTAATAATTTAAATTTAACACTTGTTTATGGTTGATTTTCTTATAGGGATTTAAATGTACTTACAACTAATCGCATAGATTGGGTTTTCCCCTTTTTAAAAAAACGTTTGCACTAACTGGTTTTGATAAAATAAATATTGTAAAGAAACGAAATTTACTGCTTTTTGGCTTTGTTTTGTTTTTATTTCCACTAAAATATTTTATTTTTATGTACAGTGAAACCTAATGTATTTTTACTATTTTTTTACTCAATCCAAAAAAAAAAAATAGTGTTTTCGGTTTTAAGATGTTATAAGGAGAATTTGTTTTTAACAAATATCATTATAATTTTGAAATTTATTTAACTTATATTTATATCTCTAATACTAGTTTTGTTTTTAAAATAAAATATAAGTTGGGCTTTTAAAGAGTTTATTTACTGATCGTGTTATTTTTAATAGGTTTGAATTTTGGTTTGTTTTATAAAAGAAGTTCTTTGGCAAACGGCGAAGGGAAAACCCAAACATAACATTTATAACTTGAGTTTAAAAGAACTTTTTTGTTTTGACGTTATTAACTTGTAGTTATAAAATGAATAATGCGCTTCTGTAAATAAGGAATGAAACTGTAAAATAATGAATGCTTTTGTTCAGCGCATTATTCAGATCAGTATTTGAAACTGGAACTTACCTGAAATTTAACTGAAATTAAAATAAAGTTATATGTAATACGAACATTTTAAAGTAACTTGAATTAAATTTATTAAATCTTTTTTTACTTTGGAAGTTTTATCATTAAAAAAAATTGTAAAATGCTCCGTTTTAAAATTAAATAATTTTAAAATGCTCTGTTTTAAAATTAAATAAAAGAATTTTAATTAAATTTAATAAATTTATTTACTAAAAACTATGATTAATAAAAAAATATTTAAATTTAATAAAATAAATTGAAATTTTTTTTTTTTTTTTTTTTTTTTTTTTTGAATATTTTTAAACTTATGAAATATAAATATTAAATATGATAAAAAGTTTAAACTTAAAACACTTATTTTTTTTAAACTAATTTTTAACAACAACAACAATAAAAATAATTTAAAAAATTTTTCTTTATTAAAAAATCTATTAGTTTACAATTGCGGTTAAATGCTTTTACTTACGACTTTAAATTTCAGGAACTTTCACAGATCACTTAAGCAACGTTAAAAAAAAGTACTTTATAAAAAGTATAGCATTATAAAAAACATTACGTAAAAACGCGCGTTAATTTTAAAATCAACCAATACAAAATTTTTATTGGTTAATTTTAAAATTAACGCAGGTTTTTACGGTCAATTAGTAACATTTTTCATAATGCTAAACTTTTAATATGATACATTTTTTATAAAGTTGTCACGTTTTTATAAGTTATTTAAGTTTTAATATTATTTGACCATCCACTTTATTCTTCTAGATATTTTTTTACTTCAATTAAAATTTGGGAATACTAATGTTGTTTGAACAAAGAATGAATTTTAAAAGTTATTAGTGTGTTATAAAAGTAATAACACTATTGTAGTGTTATTACTTTTGTAATGCAGTTAGTTACTAGAGTGTTATTACTTTTGTAATCGTAAGTTTATTGTTTTCTTTTTTATTTTTTCGCTAACAAATTTAAGTTGACAATCCCCTTAAAAACAAGGAACATGGTTTTGTATAAACTAAAATTTTGAATACTAGATATTTTTCCAGATTTTGCGTTTTGCATTTGCTTAATTCAACCCTTGTTGTTACATTAAAGTTATACAAATAAATTTTACAATTTGTATTTTTGCTACCCTCTTAAAGAAAAATTAAGAAAAGGAAAATCATTCTTTTTATTGTAGACTTCAAACTGTTTTTTTTTTCCTTTGCCTTATCTAATTTTGTTGCTGAATGTAACAACCACTCTAAAGAAACAAAAATAAAAACAGTACACAAATTATTTAGATTATTAATTTGTTTTTATTTTTTTCTATTTCAATCTCTTTTTATTTTGTTAGTTTTGTTTTTTTTGTTTTTGAAACTTTTTCAGCATTACTATAAAACTTGCAAATGGCTGTGTTCAAGTTATCTAAAATAATATACTCGTGTGTGGTCACACTAGACAAAAAATTACACGCTTTTCCTGGGAGGGCTTGTATATATATTTTTTTAGGCCCTATATATATATATATATATATATATATATATATATATATATATATATATATATATATATATATATATATATATATATATATATATATATATATATATATATATATATATATATATATATATATATATATATATATATATATATATATATATATATATATATATATATATATATATATATATATATATATATATATATATATATATGTATATATATATGTGTATATATATATATACTAATTTAAATATAAAAAAAAATTAATTTTAAAAGTATTATGTATAATTATGTATGAATCTATATATGTATATATATATTTTATATATAAATATATATACGCCATCAGCTTATATATATTTATATATAAAATATATAATTATATAATATATACAGCTTAAATATATATCGGCCACTTTTTGTACAATCGGAATCAGTATTGGCATCGGCGGTTTTTACCGATTTTTCAACCGATGACATTTTAATATTTTTATTGTGCATTATTAAAATGATTAAATAATAAATAAACTAAACTTTATGCACTACTTAGAATTTTTTGGATAAATTTTTATTTTGACTTAGTTTACAGGCAAAAGCTTTGAAAGTAACCTATTTAGACATTGTTATCTATTATTTAAATTTATCTTTTGTTATCTATTTTTTAAATTCTTTTTTACTCCCAACAAGGCTGCAAGCAACCACTATCAAATTGGGAGTTTGTTAGAAAAAAAGAGTAGAGTTATAGAGCAAGGAAACGGTTGACAGAGACTTAAAAAGTTGAAGGTTGTATGAGTCAGGAAAACATGAAGATGAGACAGAATTCTGAAAAGTTGAAGTGCTCGAAAATAAGCTAGACAAATAAAAGTTTTTGGAGCATGAAGAGATAGATAAAGTACTAGAATGAGACTTTGATGAATGATGAGTCAAGCAAGAATGAGTTTTGGTTGATGGAACTAGAGATGAAAGCTCCTTTGAGTAGCAACCATGATAGTATTTGTAGAAAAGAGAAAGAGATACAACTTTACGACGATGGGAAAGAGGCTAAAGCTTAGCAGATAGACTGGGTCCAACTCTGTTTAATAATAAGTTAATTCATTGGTATCTGCATCAGTATCATCCTTTTCTCATCCATCGGCCTCCGCTAAAAAAGTGATATCGGTACATCACTAACATATATATATGTATATATACATATATATATATATATGTATATGTATATATATATATATATATATATATATATATATATATATATATATATATATATATATATATATATATATATATATATATATATATATATATATGTATATGTATGTATATATATATATATATATATATATATGTATATGTATGTATATATATAT